TGGCTCGGGGCTTGGGCGGGCAGGGCGGCACCTCCAAACTGGCTTGGCGCCTCCGGAAGGAAAGGGGAGCACCCTTCCCGCGGAGGCCGCAGGGCGCAGACACCTGCACGGGGCACGGGCTGCGGGCCTAGCCACCGCCTTTTTGCAGCGCAGCTGTGTTCCTTCACTTAGTGTTCCCAGTGTCCCGGACGCCGCGGGCTACGAATGCACGGGGCCGGTGAGGGCGGTGCGCGGGAGGGGGGACACAGGCGGAGCAAACTGGCCGCGCTACTGTGGAAAGCGTGCTTTGCGGGGACACACGGCTCTGTGACAGCCAAGCAGCGGGCCACAGGGAGTGGGGGCGTCTTCCCGCAGGAAGTGAAGTCCTATCTAGGGAGAAAGGTAAAAACCCGTAAATTCTTGGGAGTCTGACCAGCTCTCAGGGGCTGGGTGGGAAGATCCGGAGGGTCCGACGTGCTTCTAAGCATTTGGACTTTGTCCCCAGGCGCCCCCCCCCTCCCCCAGAGGAGCAGCAGGATTTTTGGCGCAGGAGGGAACATTTGAGAGTGAGATCACTCCCAGCAGGTGGGAGAACGAAGTAGAGAAGGCCGGCAGAGACTGGGCTCCTCGCCTCCTAGAGAATCAGACCCCAGAATCTGCTAAGGACCTCAGGCCCCATAAAACATTGGCGGCCCTGCCAGCCGGAACCTACCAGGTGGGGGTGCTCAGACGGGAACCCCCTGGCCCTGTTTAACTTGTTTCCACCGGTGGAGCAATGCTTCTAAAAACCCCTAGGGACAATTGTCCCATTTTGGTCACTAGGTGCAAGAGATAAGAGCAGTGAAACAAAAAACAATAGCCCTTCCCATCTAGCTGGTGAGTGGGGGATGGAGTGGGAAGTCGGGCTACCTGTGTATTTCTTATGGAGCGTTCATGCGGCAGACCCCTACCCCGCAGGTAAATGCCCAAATCCATTTGGTCCCCACCAGGATTCTCCACCGGCAGCCAGAGGGGCTGTCTGACAGGTCCCTTCTGGATTTAAAACCCTCCCATGCTCCTGCCTCACTGCCAGAAGCCAAAGTCCTCACCAGGGTCCACTTGTCAGGATACTCACCTGACCCCCGCTGACGTAGCTTTGAGTCACTCTGGCCCACTCACAATTACCACACTTCCACCCCCTCTCTTCCTCCAACATCCCAACCTTTCCTACCACAGGACCTTAGCGCCTGCCCTCCTTCCCTCCTCCCCCTTCCACCACCAGCACACTGAAAACTCCCCAAAGAACTTCCCGAGCTGGTTCCCTTTCCTGCTTTGTCCCAGGGTTAACTTCACCAAAGGTTCAGCCTTGTCAGTACTGAGAGGGATGCAAATGAAAACCCTTTTCACACCTACCGGAATGACAAAAGTAAAACATTGGCCAGTATGAGTGTTGATGAGGATGTGAGGCAGCGGGACTGTGGTCCCCTGCTGACTGGAGTGTAGGGGTGGGTACAGTCACCTAGGAAAACTTTGACATCCGGTGATTCCCCTCTTTGCCATGCCCTTGCCTGGGCACTGATCCCAGTAGGTCCCCAGTCCCGGGCCTCGCTTTACTTGGCCCTGGGGAACGTTTTCTAATGCCTACTCCCGTGCCCCACCCCTACAGCTATTCTGATTTAATTAGCTAGGGGTGTGGCCTTCAGCCCCTACCTTTTTAAAAAACAACAACAACAAAACCCTCCCCAGGTGATTCCCCGCTGAGCAGTCTGGAGTGAAAATTGTTGCCCAATCCCAAACTCTTCCAAAGGTGCCCAGGAAAATGCCAAAGAAACCATCCAAATGCTCCGTGTCCAGCGGCAAAAACCTGGAGCCAACGCAATTGTGTGTGGAGAGTAGGTGCCTCCCAGCTGCTTCTGACTCATAGTGACGGGATGTGCAGCGACAGACGCAAACAGCCCTGCCCTCTCCTGTGTCATCCTCACGGTGGTTGTTTGAGCCCACCGTTGTCAATCCGTGTCCTCGGTCAGTTTGTCATGCTGCAGTGTCTTGCCTGGAGGCTCTGCCTCTGGTGTGTCAAAGACCAGGAGGGTCACCCACCCATGGTGGACAGGTTTCAGGGGGGCTTCCTGACTAAGACAGGCCAGGAGGAAGGACGAGCTGGGCCACTTCGGAAAAATTTGCCACTGGAAGCTGGTTGCAGCGTGGAATGGAGTCTTCAACCAACTGTGGTCCAACCCATTCCGGAACATTGTGCAGCCGTGAGAATGGGCCGCCTCTCCAGTCACAGGCACATGGGTGCAGTGGTTGGGTGGGGGCCGGATGATTTCAGCTGATAACACCAGGAGACACCTTGGAACTGCTGTCATCGAGGCTTCTCAAGGCTGTAATCTTTGCGGAAGTCAGTCGCCAGCTGTTTCTTCTGCAGAACCTGTGGGTAAGCAGGTGCAGAATTGGTTAGATGGACTCTCCCAGAGTGAATCAATCACAGTTGTAGAGTTTACCTTGACCAGGAAGAAGCCATTATCTGAGGAAACGAACTGATTGAGTCAGGGCTCCAAGCACTCGCCTGAGTTCAGGAGACCTTTCTGGGCCTGTTTTCTCAAGTGTCCAGGACATAGTGACTCTCAGCCTCTGGAGATGCCAGGGATGGACAGAGGCCCTACTGCGGAAGGCACACGTGGTCAGGGGTCCTAAAACTCTCCGTTTTTCTTCAATGGGTCGGTCACCCTTGCCCTGCAGGGCAAGGTGGGGTGGGGTGGGATTTTCTCAGATCTGCTTGCTGCCGCCCCTTCTGATTGAATTACCACCAAGATCCCCTCACTTGGAGGCGGCCAAGAAGTGAGAGGTGGGAGGGAGCTTCTGGTGGGGGCTCCCCCGGGCCACAGGACAAGCTCCCAGACAGGATCTCGGTGGCACTTTTGATGCTGTGGTGTCAGTTCCGCCCGGAAATGGGTGGCGTGTGCGATGGGGTTCCCTGCTGTTGGCCTGCCTCCTGATCTTGGGGAAGGGGTGGGCTTCCCCCACCGCAGGACACCCCATTCTGGGCCTCCCACGCCCTCTGCTGGCTAAGATGCTCCTTTTGGGGCTGTCTCCTTCATTCCTGACCTCTAGTTCCTTCCCTCAAAGCAACTATTTTTACCAAGGTCTTTGTGTGCCCCTCCAGAATGAACCCACCAAGTTGGTGAGCTGTGTGTGTTATACACACTGTAAAAGAATTCCCATTCTTTTCAAGGCCATCCAAAGTTTGTTATGCCTGAATGCCTTTGCAGAGGCAATAAAACACACAAAACCATCTTCTTGGCATTATTCTCTGCTTTCAGCCAAGATCCATCTGACCTTAACAATGATATATATCCCTTGTCCCACATCCTCTTCTGAATTTCTGGCAGCAGTCTGTCACTGTCCTGCTGCGGAGCCCCGTTGGATGATCTTCAGCAATAGTTTACTTGTGTGTGCTATCAGTGATGTTGTTCTCTAATTTGCACTTTCTGGTGGGGGCACCTTTCTTTAGAATGGGTACAGATTTGGCTCTCTTCCAGTCGGTTGGCCAGGTAGCTGACACCCACGTGTCTTGGCATAGGCAACTGAGTGCTTCTAGCACATCATCCACTTGTTGACGCATTTTGATCGGTGCGCTGTCAATGCCTGGAGCCTTGCTTTGGGCTAATGCCCTCAGTGCAGCTTGAGCTTCTTCAGCACCATCGGTTCATGCTCACGTGCTGCCTCTTGAAATGGTTGCATGTCCACTAGGCCTTTGTGCTACCGTGACTGTATTTTTTCCATCTTCTGTTGCTGCTTCCTGCGTCTCGTCGTTCAGTATTCTTCTTACTTCTCTCACCCCCTCCCACGCTGGTGACCATCAGAGTAAGTGTGAAAATCTTCTCTCGACTTTGTCTACTCGTGGTCTCATCCTATTTATCTGTTCATGCCGGACAGATTTCACTCAGCACAGAGTCCCCCAGGGTCATCCGTGTTACTCGGTGTTTCGCAGCCTCATCCTCTTTCTTTAATGCGGTGTAGCATCCCCTTGTGTGTGCGCACCAAAGTGTATCGGCCCATTCTTCTACGGACCAATGGGCATTCAGGTGGTTTTTCCACCTCTTCGCTGCTTGGCATGGCTTATTTCTCTAGGATATGTATTTCTCTAGGATGTATATTTCTGAAGGACTTCCCATTTGTGTTTGTAGAAGGATCTCTCTCGTCCTTCCTCCCTAGTCTCAGCCTTGAGGACTGCAGACCTATTTGATTGAGGTTTATACCACAGCCAAATCATCTCTCTAACCTTCAGCTCGGTTTCTAAAATGTTGTTGTTGTTATACATAACGGAGCAACTTTTATGAACATTTTGCTCTCTGGGTCAGACGTTGTGTAAACTATTGACACACTTGTCTGAGAGCCCTCTAAAAAAGATCAAACTAAGATCTGAGGTTCCCATCAAAGTGCTTAAGGCTTAGAGCTCTGCTTCTCACATCCTTGGGCGCACAGGGTGGCCAGGAGTCAGGAACCCACAAAGCCGGGCAGCCACTTTGTTTGGTTTGTTTGTGGCCAACCTGGGCCTTGTGGGGTATTG